TTAATAGGCTTTAATTTAGTATGCAATTGTACTTTTTCAAGACTCATTAATATAAATATAAATGCATAAATGTTTTTGAAAGTATGAAAGAAAAACTTCATCAAACTAAATTAAATTTGATACTTAATACACTAGTGAAATTGATACACTACAATTATTTCCAACTCCCTTTAAGCAACTCAAGCACCTAGTTTGCTATCTAAATTTAATATTTTTTCATATTCCTCCAGAGTAACTTCATCCTGAAAAGATCCACAATTACGCAAATGATTGTTGCATGTGTTTTTTTATTAACAAATTTTAATTCAGATTCTTCTTTATCAGGATATGCACACTTACATGATCAGCAATTGCAAAACGATGTGTTGAATTTGCTTTTTCATCTAAAATTATAAAATACGGAGTAAACGGATGTTGTTTTTTTCCCATATATAATTTTACGATATTACAAAATAAAACATTTGAAGAAATTTATATATTTTTTTTAATAATTAGATATAAATAAATTGATATTAACTTATTTAACAATAAAATATGCAGTTCTATTTTTATCCTAATTGTTCAAATTGTCCTGACTCGGTTAATTTGGTTAAATAATCGGTTCATTGGTTCAAATGGTTAATTATCATTTATCCGGTTAAATTAACAACACTGATATCGGCCGATTTCGATAAAGAAATCCACCTGCCAGAAGAGTACAAATCCTATTGTAAAATGCCAGAGATTTCCGCTTAATGATGTCACTTTCCTCCCCGATTTTTCAACAGACTGAGAATCTTCTTATTTATCATAATAAGTTCCGGGTTAGGAAAAAGCACTTTCGGAGAAAAATCACATTGTGTCACCGTCTCCCAGTAAAGAAATTATATATAATTAACGCACCCTAACCTGATATTGGATTTCCTTATCCAAATCAGTCGATATGACGACTGTATTTATGCTCTTTTGACTTGATAATCGACGTAGCCTGGCATAGAAACCAGACGTGAGATTTAATTTATTATTTATTGCAATTAGGTCGTTTGCACCATAGTGAAAATAAGCAATAAAGATAAGATGTTTTATTGTTTTAGAGTATTTAAAAGATCGATCTTTAATTTTAACCAATTAAATAGAACTTGACTCATGATTATGCGAGTGATACAAAAAAGGAAACCAAGTAACGGTAAGTGAAGTTTTAATTTGGTGTTAGAATGTTATGGTTCTAGAAACTATAAGAATAAACCAATAAGAATAAACCATCTAATCTTATATGTAAAACTTCATTACTGACACCTTTCATTAATGTTCCAAGGCAGGTTTAAATACTCATTCTAATTTCAAAAAAAAAATTGTAAATGGCTTTCTCATTTTTATCTTATCAATACCTTTGCTAGATTTTTTTTAAAAAATTATCCCAGATATCATGTCACTTATTAACCAAGAAGTCATCAACAGCTAAATTGCTCATATATGAATTTTTTTGGTCGTTCGCGCAGGTTGGTTCTAACTACGGTGGTGATACCTAAATCATAATCCATTCTGTAGTGAGAGTTTACATAGTAGTAAGACACGAGTTATGTCTGTGGTATTAATAAATACCATAACAAATATTATTTAATTATGATTGTTTTATAATAATGAAATTCATACTCACGAGCTGATAATTTAGTTTATATTAGATTAATAAATAAATTGTCATAAAGCATTTTTTTTTTGTTTAAAAAAACAATAAAATATAAATAAATAAATAAATAAAATGTAGAAAAAGATCATATTCACCTATAAGGAGTTTCATCGTAATGCTCTGTTGTAAGATAAACTTGTCCGCTTAGATCAGGAGTTGTATTATCTTAACATATAAATATTAATTTCAATAAAATTGTATTGGTACGTATTAACAGATACAAATAAACGATCATAATATAAGCGTTACTAAGGAAAATCTATAAATACAAATTTAAATATGCACCATATGGGCTTAAGTTTAGAAAATCAAGATAATCAGTGTTCTAATAATTTTGATATTTGCCAAAGATGACCAGAACACAGATTAAAATTATTAAATTTTTCAGAAATTTGGATTTACAGGTTTTCCCTTGACATTGCTCATATATATACTGTTGTGAGAACGAAATTGTGTGAATTTAGAATTCCTTAATCTTGCTTTAGGATTTAAATAGCGAAGTATTATATATATATGTATGTATATACATCCGAACTCTATTAAATTCTAGTTTTAATATAAAATTATAAATCCTCCTGAATTTCATTCTCACTTATAGCATATACTAACGTTGTTCTACAGAGCGAATGTTTTGATTTTCAGATGAATTAACCGTAGAAACAGAATCTGTACAAGACGAAAAACTATCGGATTGCGGTATTTGTTGATTATTGATATTATTTATAATGAATTCAACAGGTTCAGCAGATAATTCATCGAGTTCAATCAAAATTTTGTCCAATGCTGGGCGCAGATTTGGTTCGGTAGACCAGCAGCACTTATAAAGATTAGCGTAGTGTAAGGGTGTATTTTCGATAGTTTTCTCTCTTTTGTTATGTAAAATATTATTAATAATAATGGCCCAATCGCTGGAACCATTGAATGGAGGAACACCACTCGTAAGTTCCCAAAATAATACGCCTAGGCTATAAATATCTGATTTTTGGTCGCGTACAGCGTTACTTCCATGGATATAATATAGTGGTTCGGTATAAGCTGGCATGCCACCTGAATTCGAACTTGAAACAGTAGTACTATTTAATTGTTTGGATATTCCAAAGTCTGAAATTAAGGCACTACCATCATTTATCAAAACATTCTTTGAATGCTAAAAAAAAATTATGAGATTTCAATAAGATAAATTTAAGTAAAATCAAAAACATCTTTTAACTTACTAAATCACGATGAATAATTTTATTATTATGTAAATGTTGCAATCCAAGTGTGATATCCTTTGCGATTTGGACGATTTCAGTCCAGGGAATTTTATAAATACCATCTTGCTGTTTGTTTTGTAAGTAATCGCGTAGACTGCCATCAGTGGCAAGTTGTAATACTAGCATGAAATTTTTTGATTCTAATGCTTATTATATTATGTTAAAAGACAATTATTACATTTTGTAAATTTTGTAGTTTTGCCAGTCATTTTAACATTAATTATTCTTGATTTCCAATTTCTAAAAACTACAATTAATTATAAATTGCACCTATGGTAGTTTTGCACCTATCATTTGATTTTACCTATCATTTGATTTTACCTATCATTTGATTTTACCTACTTTACCTATCATTTGATTGTATTTTCTAATAATTTATAAGTTTTGTATATAAATTTTTTTTCACATTAGGGTTAGTATTTAGAAATAAGATTAAGGGTTAAGAAAATTTTTGGAGGCGCAGAACATTTTTATTTAGAACGCCTCACAGTGATTAATTAGCCAGTTTTGAGATAATATATAGGTGTAAAACACCATAAGTGCGTTTTAATTAAGCGTGAAGTTTTATCGAAATATTTTTTAAGAAATCGATAATTAAGAAATATATAGCTTTTAAAATTTTGAAAACAATAAAGCATACCTGTTGAAACTCCATAGAATTTTACAATATTTGGGTGGTGATTGACAGTATAAAGAAGTTTAAGCTACATTAAATTTAGTAATTTGAATATTAAGATTTAAATATGGATAATAAAGAATATTACCTCATGTTTAAATTGTCTAAATTGGTTATGATCAAAATCCAGGTTATTATTTAAGCTTTTTAATGCGTAATTTTTTCCTTCTAAAATGACGGAATATACAACAGCATATCCTCCTTGTCCAATACGTTTAAGATTTTTACGTTCAGAATAGTCAAAAATCTTTATATTATTTTTTTCGAAATATTCTAGTAATTCTTCCGAATAATCGATTACTAATATATTATATAAAAGCTTATGACATTAATATATCAAGAAAATTAATAATCAAAATTTTAACAATAATAACTCACATGCTTTCTTTTGCATGGCTTATAGATATAAAATTGATCTTTTTATGATTCCTATTAAAAGTAATTTATATTTATCAATATTTTTCTAGGCTTGAAGAACAGAAATCTTTTTCGATTGTTAACAACTGCCCTACCTTGTTTAGTGCGCTGAAAGTGCATCGGGTGTAACCAGTTTTGCAGAAGACCTTCTTCTTGCATTGCGAATACAAAATAAAATTTCCAATTACACAAGATGAGCTGCCTTTAATAGAAATCGGGCAGGTTGAAATTTAAAAAAATCCAATACCTTAACTTTCACCTTCATGTCTCAATGAATTTTGAAATCAATTTAGCTATTTAATATTCAAAAGAAAGCTTGAGATCTAAGCTTTCTTTTGACTATTAAATCATTGAAATAGCATCAAAAGTTATTAATATGAGCTGTGAAAGTTAATCTATTGATTTTTTAAACAATGTTGACGGCAGCTCATAGTATATAATTGGAAATTTTACTTTGTATTCGCAACGCAGGAAGAAGCTCTTTTATGCAAACAAGGTTACACCCGATGCACTAAACAAGATAGGGCGGCTGTTAAAAACCGTAAAGGACTTCCGCTGGCTTGAAGAGCAGATCCATATATCATATAGAGAAAATAAGGACCTGATCAATACATCGTGTAAAAAAGACAATATTAAAACACGTACGTACGTAGCAAATATTGAAATTTAACTCAAGTTTATCAAAATTTAATTTAATATTGTATGTAAAAATGCAAATTTGGTTGAGCTCCGTAAAATTCCGTGGTTATCTTTTATATTGTTCAGGATTCTAAAGTAGCGTCATTAATGCTGTAATGCTAAACTAATAAATGATTTGGTTAAGGTCATAAGGCCAAATGAACAATAAACAAATTGGCATTTGATTAACCAATCACCATTAAAAAATTAAATTTTATTAGTAAAAAAAGATGCGTACGTACGTACATACGTAGAATTATTTATATTACGTAGGACCTTTTCTAAGAATTGTTTTTTCCTAAAAATAGATTATTATGATTTTCGATCCTCAACGTTAATCTTACTGTTACGTAGTAATTCGGATAGATCCGATAATCAATTTCCCAGATAACATTTATATCGATGTATTTTAAAGCTCAAAAAAAACCACAGTAAAAGACTTAGAAGATATCGTTACATGTATTTATCATTACTCTGGATTAACCCGACTAGCTCACAAAGAACAGAATCAAAGCCCAGGATTTCCTTCCTCGGTGATTTTCCTTGTTTTTAAATCGGCAGAATTTAAGACTGTTGAAAAAAATTTAACTTGAGAATTCAGTACTAACTGATTATTTGGCTGCGTACTTGGTTCAATCTACTCTCAGCCAATAAATATGTTGATCAAAGACTAGTAGTTACACTTCCCATCGCTATAGAAAGAAAATTTTCGCACGCTATCATAACTAACTTAAAGAATTTCTCTATCCGGTCAATTCATTTCAGGATCGGATGTAACATAAAATCAAAAAAGTATATTTTTAGATTTGTGATACTGAGGTTTACACTTTTTAAAAAAAGTTCAAGTAACCTATCCTTTCCATGAAACGTGAGCAAGTGCATTAGGCAAACATGGAGACTTTGTACAAGGGCTAAAACGACATATAGTAAATTCCGGTCATATTTTTTATCCATTTAAATTAAAAGTAATATATTAAAACAATAATATTAAATAACTAATAAAATTTTTATTTCATTATTGTTATTGTTCTTTGATCGCAATAATTATGCATCAAGAACGACACTTAGGATGACCGGAATTTACAATATGTCGTTTTAGCCCTGCTTTGTGCTTTATTATAACATAAGATAGCTGCGCAACGTAGTTGTGCGAAACTAGGAACGGGGGTTATCGTTATGGTATTTTTGCCATAAGGCAATTTATGACATTAGATTAACGTGCGGGAATCTAATTTTGACAGAAATATATGACGTATTTATTTTTAAATGAGCGATGTATCAACTTTATTTCATTTCCGATAAATTTTGAAACGATGATTTATTTCGTTAAATGGGATCTCCAGACTAATGATGTGCAAAATTTTTATTGAATATTGTTACATATTTTTAAATTTCGTTATAATAAATAATTCTATTTAAATACAAACATTAGAATATTGTTATTTACCGCCGGTGAAGATATCGCCAGGGACTAGCTAAGAAGTAGCTGCGCAATGCAGTTGCGCAAAACCAGGAACAGAGAAATCTATGCAGACACCATTTCTGTCACTGGTAAAACATAGTCTTTATTGCAATCCATTCCTGGTATAAGAAAATGACTCTTTATAAAAGAAGTCGATAGTACTTGCAATCTGAATATTGGTT